TGCAGTCAGAGTAATAAGAAAAAAAAACCAGCATAGGAATGAATATCTAGATTGCTATTGGCTAGTTCAATTTCCAATATTTAATAGCAAGCTGGCTATGGCACCCGCCCTCTGGTGCTGTCAATCACTAGAAGAGGACCTGATGGAGAACTTCAGGTCCCTCTCTGCTGATTGACAGCAGCAGTGGGCGGGTGCAATAGCTAGTCTGCTATTGGCTATTGCTATGCTATGCATTCCTATGCTGGGTTTTTTTTTTCTCTGACTGACAGCAGCCGGCGGCCCCATGTCAGAAAAAAAAAAACAGATCGCAGGAAAGGTTTACTCTGCTAGATTGAGCAGAGTAAACCTTTCCGGGAGAAAATTTATCTCCCGGGCGGTCGGGAGCCGCTATCTAATAGCGCGAGACTCCGTGAGAGTTGGGATGTCTGCACTTTTGCAGCAGTTTTCATAAACTGGCTTAATGACATGATTCCTGAAAGAAACAGATACAATAGACAGCATTTGTGAAGTTGGTTCAAATTGGGTTTTGTTCCTACCTGGAGATCCGATAAATTCTAATCCCCCTCCTTATGTTTGCACAACTGCTTGTGTAGTCCGATCCCTGACCGTATTGTGCAGAAAAGAGGGGGGGGGTTAACTCGTCACGAGATGACGGGTTAGTAGTGGTCAATTTCAGGATCCGGACAAGTCAGTTGGTTACATGAAAAATTAAATTTTATTGAAAAAAGAACATGCAAGATAACACATTTGACTAACAATACCACCATAAAACCTATTAAAATTACAGACACTAATAAATTAAATGTGTGTCGATCCTCATTCACTTCTATCATTAAATTTCACCGTGAGGGGTAAGCAGCTGGTGTATTTCCCACGTTGCCACTTATCTCTCCGTGAAATGGCCCATGTGTATATCAATAAACATGGGCTATCTGGATGAAGCTATATTCCAGGGTATGGGTAATCAAAAGGAAAAACATTCTGGTAATTTCATGTTGTGAATTAAAGAAGAGGGTCAAATTGGATTTGAAATGGTAACCTAGGCTTCGTGCATTTGAAATCAAATTATATAATGTGCTTAAACACTGATGCTTGTGGATAAGGTTGATCCTATATGGCTATTTTCTGGTTTAATGAAATATGTCCTCAGATGTTTTCAGTTCCTTTCCCTCTATCAATTTGTTTTTCCTTTAAGGATTCCTTTGATGGGTGTTTCACTGTGGGGTTAAGTTTTCCTTGGTTTAGTATTGGCTTGAATTTAGCCGTATGTACACTTAACCCCTTCCTCCTTCTTAGCCTCGGGATATCGTGGTGGAAACACCGGGATATAATCGGATTGTCTGTTCAAACCGAGGGGGGGGGGGGGGGATGTTTTCTCATGGACAGACTATTGCTGGACCATCTTCTATGTCACGCCTGACTTTAACCTTCTCTCTCTCAATTAGTATTGAATTTTGAGTGTAGAGGGTATAAGGCTTCACTTCAGAGTGGTATTCAAACACCTTAACGGACATAGATAAAGGATTTTTCGTCACTCACGTTTACTGAAGTTTTCGACAACGAATGTCCTGACGAAGCCCCAGATTGTAGGAGGGGTGAAACGCGTCGACAGACAACAACCAGACACATAACCACTATGCCACAAGTGGACGTACGATCCTGATACCAGGGAATTCTGCCACACGGGTGCGCGCAATTTTAAAGCATGACATGTTTGGTGTCTATTTACCCGACGTGACCCCGCTTTTTATATTCTACCCAAAATATGGGTTATAAATGGGTGTGGTTACTGGGGGTGTGCCCACTAAAGGGTGTGGCCACTGAGGGGTGTGGTCACTGAGGGGCGCTGTAAAGCTTTCTCGCACAGGGCGCCTAAAGACCTAAGGCTGGCCCTGCTTCCAGTTGCCAGCAGTAACATCACCTTCACCGGGGAGACTGGGGTGCCATTACAAAATAAAGGCACCCAAAGTGTGATCGCCGGCAGTAGTCGACTCTGTGAGCGCGCGGCAATCCGGTTTTGTGCACGATTGCTGCGCGGTCAGGAGTTGCCCAGGTGTGAACCTAGCCTTAAGTGGCACTCCATTGTGACTGCTGATTAGTTGTCCCCTGAATAATATCCCCACTTAATGCACAATGCTTAAACTTTTTTTCAATAATGAATTCAGATCAAAAGTATTTCTTTAACCCCTTCATGACTGAGCTTGTTTTTAGTTTCTGTTCGTAAATGACTGACACACTTTTGACATTTTTGCTGTGTGATTCTTCCACGTCAGTAATATACTTTCTTACAAAGTGCACCCACACATATTATATATTGTTTTTTAGAGGACAGATAGGGCTACATATTTATATCACATATGTGTGTCTAACGCCTCACTTAGGACAAATAAAATATAAAAAAAAGAGGGAAAAAACGTTAAAAAAAAAACACTTTTTTCCCATTTTGATATAAAGCCCTCTAAAGAAGCAAATAACTCGTCACGTACAGTGTACGTGACAAGTCATTTGGTCCCTTTGTGGCTGCCGTCACGAAGGGGTTAAATTGTTGTCTAAACACCTGCAGTCATCATCATTCCGAACATCTGGATCCAACTCTCTTAGCTCTACTTCCCTAAGCTTCCTGTCCAGTATAAGATCACAAGGGATAGAGCAGTCCCCTGCAGCCTTAATTTGCCTTGCTGTGTCTCTGGACACACCCACACAGCTAACTAGCACACACAAGGGTGGCTCCATAGGACCCTGCAATGGAAAGGAGCCACCTTAAAACAGGATATCAGGGTCAATGCTCAGGGGACCAGCTGATTCTGAACTTTTAACCTCTTGCCGTCCGCCTGTTGCAAAAAAATGGATGGACGGCGGACTCACATTTGCGGGTTGCCGTCATGAGACGGCATTTTTTTTCTGCTGGCACGGGCACAAAAAACCCGTCCAATGTAAAGAGCCGTTAGCGGCTGTTTCACATACACACAGTCGGCGGCCCTATAGCCTACCGATCGTGTGTATGTGCTGGCTGCGTAGTCGAGTGCCGCTGCTGCCCCCCCTCCTGACCCCTCACCTTCAATCCCGGGATCTGCTGCCCCATCTGCGGCCCGGGACCGGCTCGGGAGGGTGTCAGGAGGTAAGATGGGAGGGAGATCAGCATCTTCCTCCTTGCTGAACTCCCTCCGTGCTATGAATGCAGATGTGATGTGTATTACATCACTTCCGCATTCACCTGTCAGTCATCTGGCTGCTATAGCCAGAGGGAAGAAGCAGATCTGTGCTTCATCAGCTTCTTTTGGGGTCCCTAGGTGACGTTAAGGGTCCTAGAGATCCCTAATGTCTCCATAAAGAGGACCTGTCAGTGTGCCTTTGCTATTATATAGGGATTGTTATCCCCCTATGTAATAGCAATAACAATAAGTGTAAAAAAAAAAAAAGTCACATATAAAAAAAAGTTAAAAAAAACAAACAAAATATTTAAGTCCCCCACCCTCCCAGGTTTACTCACATATAAACGTAATTATACGTCCGGTGCACCAGCGCGTGAAAAACGACAATTACGCTACACACGTTACATATCAGCGCGAACGTCGGAGTGTGAGCAATAATTTTAGGGCCATCAATCACTGATAACACTAAACTGATGAGCGGTAAAGGCTTTTAAAGCATCGCCTATGGCCAATTTTGGGTATTGTAGTTTTTTGATGTTTCACGCGCACGCGCAATTTTAAGGCTTGACATGTTTGGTACAATACTTTATATAACAATAGCATTTCTGTATAAAGTACTGCTGAGATTTGTCGTCCTCTATAGAGGGTGCCATTCTGCATTGGACCTGCTTTATAGAACTACAAATACCAGCTGTACTTTATACAGCAATGTCATCAATTTGGCTACAAAAAAATAATGATGTTATTTATTAACTTACCTTCACCTCCTCTGGCTGTTTCCTGGTGGGGGAGGCTGCAGAAGACCACCCCTGTGTGTGTGTCCATCTCAGCACGCCCGTGTACTCAGACGGCTGTCTGCTGGGTCCCCACGGTCGAGTCCCAGGGCTGCCCCCTGCAGTGCTTGCAGGCTTTTTTTTATTCTTGGCTCCCTCCACAGTTTTCGGCGGCCGCCGGGCCCCCTCGTCTCTGC